CGATTGGTCTCTGAAACACACTGAATGCGCCAGCTCACATTTCCATTGATTCTTGACTTTTTCGCTGAAAATCTAACCCATATCGTTCCAGAACCACTGTATTCACACCGTGCGACTCCTGGTTATTCCCTAAATTCAAAAGATCACTCCGGGGACACCGTTTTGAGTTGACTGCAGAGATTCAACGTGAATCGCCGCTTGCGTTGAAGGCCATTCCTGCCGATGAGTTTTTAACATGCATTGAGGATAGGAAAAAAAGTTGGCATAAGTGTATTGTGTCCAGAGGATTATTTTGAAGGCGATGAAATTAATTTGGAAGAATAAATAAAGATTTCTGGAAAAAAATAATTGGCCTTTCTACTTTTAGGTACAGTAGTATATCCCAAATCATTATAGATTATTAATTATTCATCTTAGTAATTGGTAAAAAATTAATAGGTGGAAGGTGACAAAAATGCTGAATAAGAAAGATTGCTTTATTTAGAAATGTGTTTGAATATCAAAGATGGAAAACTAGGGATGTCAACATAAATTATTTTTCATCTGTTTGTTTTCTGTTATTAAAAAGTCTTTAAATTTAACGTATTTTTGATTTAGATATTTTATTGACTTAAGTATCGAAGGCATTGAGTTTTAGTTGTATTTCAGTCCTTATAAAAAATTAATTTTGGTGATTACTTAATTTAGGTGATCCCCTATGTATTAATTTAGGTGATTAAAAAATAATTTAGAAATTAATTAGGTCAATTTAGGTGGTTGCAAAGGCTCAAAAATGGTTTTTTAGAAAAGCTGTTACTTTAATATAAAGGATTATTTCAACTTGATTTCTGGTAATTTTTCATTATTGGTTTTGAGACATAAAAAATGGAAAATGTTGCTTGTATCCATCTCATATTAGTATAATAACAAACAGTTTTAAAAAGCAATATGTTTATGTCATATTATGAAAATTTTAAAACTAGCTTTAAGTTTCAGTTTTGAAAATGTGTGGGAAGTAATGGCCTGACTTTTAAATATCAGAAATTTTTACTAAAACAGTTAAACAAATGCATAATATGAATAACGTTCATCATGAATTAGCTATAGAAATAAAGCCTTTTAATTATGTATATAATATTTTTGAGCCTTGTGCAAATAAATACTAAATTTTTAAAAGTTGTCCCACTCAATTTTCTCTGAACAGTCTCCCACTCAATTAATGCTTAAACTATATTAGGTTATATTAATTTTAAAAACAATCTTAACTTTTCAAATTCCATCGTATAAAGTAATTCCAGTTTTAAATTTCTATAGTTGTTAAAGGTTTTTTTTAAAAATTATGTACATTATATTAATATTTGAGAATACGTAAATAGATCTAGCATGCATTATTTATTTAAATTAACGACTTGAAATAGTTTTGTTTTTTTTGAAAAAAAAGAAAAAAAAAGAAAAAAAAAAAAGGAAAATTATTAAATTAAATAGAAAGAAAAAATAAAATAAATTATCGAAAATAAATATTCTATAATTTAAAAAAATTTCTATAAATAAAATTTTTCCATTTTTTAAAAAAATTAAATTAATAGAAAAAATGGAAAAATCTAATACAAAATATAAAATAAATAGAAATATATTAAAAACTTGGCGAATTTGAAAATAAAATTGTATATTATACACTACTGTCCCAAAATATGAGATTGATGACCGATCAGAGGACTCTTCATCTTCAACATCTCATCATCTTCTTTGAACTGTTTATACCACTTGTAAACATTTCTTTTTCGATATAGGAATGCTCATTCTATATGTTTCCGCACAGAATATTCATTCCACAAACAAAATTGAATGCAAGTTCTTTGTTCAATTAATTTAGACATTTCAAAAATCACCGAAATCAGTTTTTAGCGTCTCACAAAGCGAAGCGTAACTCAAATACTAATGAATATTTTGACGTAAAATTTCACACAGATGTCAAGGACAGGGCCAACAATGTAAAAAAAAAGAAAAAAAAATTTAAATTCCATATACCGGGAAATCTAAATAGAAAATTGTTTTTACTTTTTGGACATAGTAGTTTTTCTAAGTTATAAATATATTTTATTTTTAAGGCAAGATTTTGAACATCACAAACGTCATCGAGTTTTCCTCATTTTTTCGAAATAGTGTCTACAGCAAGGCTGTACGAGGCCACTCAGCCACGAGTCATGCGTTTTTAATTCGTTAATTTTTAAAACACATATTAAAGTTTATTTTGATGTACAATTTTTATTTTTTTTATTTCTTCTGGTTTTTATTTTAATTTTTCAACCATTTCTACTATTTTTCTATTAATTTAATTTAATTTATTTTTTTATTTTTAAAGATATTTCAAGTTATTAATTAAAAATAATAATGCATATTAGATCTATATTACATATTGACATACTGTAGATAATTTTTTTTCAAAAAAAAATAACAGTCGAATTTAAAACAGGAATTCAAATGTTAAAAGATGTTTTCAAATATTAATATAACCTAATATAACTTAAGTATTAAGTGAGTGGGGAGGCTGTCAGTAAGAAAAATGAGTGGGAGGAAAATTTAAGTATTTATATGCACAAGGCTCAAAAAGAGTTATATATATATAATTAAAAAGCTTTGTTTCCAGTTAATATGTGATGAACGGTATCCATATTAAGCATTTATTTAACTATTTTAGTAACAATTTCTGTGATTTAAGATTACTACTTCCTACATTTTCAACACTTAGACTTAAATAATTAATTAGATGGTTGTAAAATTTTATAATATGGCATAAACATAAAGTCATAAGAACGAATGTGAGTTGAAACATTCTTTTTTATATATTAAAGGTAACATCTTATCAAAACCTTTTATTATTATGCTAATGTGAGATGAATAGATGCGTAACAATTCGATTATTTATATGTAGCCAAATCAACAATAAAATAATACCAGGAATGTAAGTTGAAACATTCTTTTATATATTAAAGTAACATCTTATCTAAATCAGATTGTTGAACTTTTATAACCACCTAAATTAATTAAATCACTAAAGTACAAACTAAAATTCAATGCCTTCTTCGATATTTAAGTTAATAAACTATCTAAGTCAAAAGTAGATTAAACTTAAAAACTACTTTAGTAACAGAAAAAAAAAAAAAATGAAAAATTATTCATGTTAGTATAATAAATTGTGCGTATATTCATACACACTAATAAAGACTTTATTTCTTGTCGTTAAACTTATTTAGGGTTATTCTATATTTGGTACTAGAAGAAACAAGTTTAAAATCAGTTCTTTAAACCAGTGCTTCAAGTGGTTGGAAATTTCAAAGGGCAAATGAAATGAAATTGTGTATGAAAAGGCCACTTGAGACATTTGCTTTAACAGTGACATTTAATTAAACCACTCGAGGCAAGAGAAGGTAAAATACTTAATCTTCTCTGTTGAATGGAATGAATTCCCAGAAGTTTCATAATGGAAGTCTTTATTCCTAAGGAAACATTTTTGTTATTCGTGTAGGCGTGTTTGCTTTACAATTCGACCTTTATCTGGTTTGCAGACTTACGACGGGGATAAATTAAGATTAGTAAGATGATTTAATGAATAACTAGCTAAAAAGTTTGGTTTTAAGGAAGTAAGTATAAGTTGTGCCTATCAAATCCCATATACACTCAAGAGCCAAAACATTATGATCACCCCTACATTTTGCAATGAACTCGCCTGGATGACGTAGAAGGCACGTGATCATGTGGAAGTGGTATTTAACTGGTATTAAGTGGTGGTATTAATCCATGCCAAGGCGGGTTGAAGCTGTGTTGCGCGTCAAATGTGGGCCAACTCGTTATTGACAGATGGTCATAATGTTTTGGCTCTTGAGTCTATGTACAATGGGATTCGTGTCGGTTATTGTGATGTTCATTTCATACTAAACAGTGCTTCAGATTTTAAGTATTCCTTATTAGGGAGCTATGTGAACTCGGGCATTATCTAATAAATTGAAAATATCTTAACAAATTCACAGTTTTCAATCAGGAAAGGATTATAATTATTAGAATTTTCACAATAAAAATGCTAAAAATATGGAAATACATTCATGACTGAGGTTGTTTTTAATAAAAAAATTTTTTTTTCTCTATCAGTATTTGAATGATATGAACAATTATCTTATATAAAACTCATTTTTTTCAAACTTTGAATCAGCAAGACTTTTTATGGCACTTTCTATAATAATATTTTTTGCAATAGCATTTTTTTTTTCTATGAACCTAGAAACCATTAAAAGAATCCATTTGGTCTTGAAACATGAATGAACCTATGAATGTTTTTGTAAGCTTCTATTTAGTTTACGAAAGCCTTTTTTCATAACGGTCCCAGTAAAAACTTTTTTTGTAAGCATTTTCTTAATTTTTATTCTTAGATTTGGAATGACACCTATTGCTTATTAGTGATTATGAACCTAACTATTGAAAACAATTCTACAACTATTTGAAATTCTACAACTTCAGGAAAATTTTTTTTTAGCATATGCAGCTTAATCAAGTCATCACAATTCCTTCTTGGTACCTTAACTTTTTCTCCAAATTTGATATGCTACATTGAGTTTATTTATATCTGGTGGATTATTTGTGGTCATTTAAAAATCACCATTAAATCCTCTCTTATCTAGTATGATATTGAATACATGATTTTTAAATATTTTTGCACCATCTACATTTGTAATCTCGCCCATGCAATCATAATCAAACAGCCTGATAATTTTAATTTTCTTTTTCTTCTAAAAACGAGCTCTGCCACTAAGTCTACAGGTAATTCTTTTTTTTGCAGACTTTAATTATTTTTTTTTATTGATTTGCATGAAAATCATTATATAATCAATGACATTATTCCATACTGAAATTGTAATAGCTAGTCCCACAGTGGTGTTCAGCATTGTTTTGCAAACCACGCTTAACCTGTGTAAGACATTATCACACGTTTAAACTCACTATAAAAACAATGCCGCGGAATGAAGCCAACGGCCATACCATGCTGAATATACCGGTTCTCGTTAGATCACCGAAGTCAAGCATCATTGGGCGCGGTCAGTACGGTGGGAGACCACCTTGGGAACACCGCTGCCGTTGGCATTCTAAATTTGGGACCTGAACGGCCGAGTGTTCTAGCGCTCTGGCGCTCCGGTGCCACAGGTTTCGGGTTCGAATCCCCCGCGGTTCGATGGATGTTTGTAGTGGTTCGGAATCCACTTTAAGCCGTAGGTCCCGGTCACCTATGACTGTAAGAGCGTCATGGATCCAAAGTCAGACTTCTACCTACGTGTGCTCCATCACAACAGAAGCTGCTTCCTTCCCCTTCAATCATGAGTAAGTATGGGCTCTTGGGCTTGGCCAACCAAGTGGGATAAGAAACAACAACAACATAAAAGCAATAATTGTTTGTGTTACAAAAGTCTCTACTTTATACCACACTACAGAATCAGGCGCAGGTATTTCTGGAATTTCATACAGAGCTCAAATTCTAGTGATTTCATATTGAAAGGATTTGACACAATATATTCTGCCTTCTCATCTACTAATTGCCATAATGGTTTTGCAGTGAGGCACTTAACATGCATTTTCCAATGCATACTACCGCTCAGAAGAAAGAAAACATATATGTTTTGGAGTGTACCAAAATAAAAAGCGCATTTAAAGCAACTCGTTGAAATGTCTCCAACTACTAAGTTTGCTCTATGACATCCGCATAGCATATGAAACACATGCGAATTATCTGTCATGATGCATTCCGGAAGTTTTGTATTTTTCCCTTTCACATTTGAATCATTATCGACAAAATGAGATTCCTCTTTTGAAATATGAAAATATTTTATTCTAAAAACATTTTTAGAATTAAATCTCAAGTGTTACTTAATTTACAGAAAATTTAAATATGGAAATAAAAAAAATATATATAATGCGTACAAATTAAAAAAAAAACAGCTGCGTCGGCCGGGAGTCGAACCCGGGTCAACTGCTTGGAAGGCAGCTATGCTAACCGTTATATCACTGACGCTTGAAGAAACAATCATTCATTATGATGATAAAACTGGGTCGCATTCCGTGACTACTGCTGCTATTGCGTGTTGAATTATGCCGGTGGAATTATTCCATTGAAACATGGGCAATTAGATGTTTCTGAACTGCCAAATGTTTTTATTTGATTTCAAATTTCATTCCTTTATTCCTTTACATAAAATATGTTATCGTAATTTCCTGTTTTATAATTGCCATCGGCGTACAATTTAGGAACCGTTTGCACTTGTACAACGGTTTTTATGCTTGAAATTTCCATGTTTTTTTCAGATTTTTAAAACCAAAATAATCAATCACTATAAATACATTAATTTAACTGTTAATTTATATTAATTACATATATTAATGTCATTAATTAATTAATTGTTAAATTGTAATTGATAATAGTAATTAGATATTAAGTTTAATAATATCATTATAGTAATATTAAAATTATATAGAATAAAATTACATTAATATTATTATTATATAATTAAACGAACAATTATATATTAATATCTATAATTATAAATATAATTAATGATTTTGATTTACCATTATTTAATTGTTACTTTCTTATTAATTATAAATAACTTTCACTATTTTTCCAATTTTTTAAAATTTAAAATATTCATATAAATTTTGATGGGCCAAGTTATGCAACATTATTGTATTTTAAGTTACATACGGATAAACATCAAAAAATTAATTTAAAACAAGTAATATAAATTTTTTTTTTTAAAATCAATTCCTACTTTTTTTCCACTATATTGCTGAAAATCTTTTATAAATAAAGTTTAAATTTTCCTCTTACATCTGGGCAATCTATTGGTAGATACATGCAACTTAAATCTAAAAAAAAATCTAAAATTAATTACTTAAATTTAATGAAGGAATTAATATTTCAAAAAACTGTATTAACATCCAGTGTCGTCTACTACAAGTCCAAAAAAATGTATTTGAACTTGACTGGATGAATAACAAGTATTTTATGAACGATTGAAAATTTAAACAAGATATATATAGGAGGTGTGAACTAATAGTAGGAATTGAAAAAAAAGAAACAAACTGCGAAGTACATGAAACCTTTTACTTGCAGGTTTTCCTTCCTCATAGTAAATGAAATAGATTGACATTAAATACTTCTAAAATATGATATAATTAACATCATGCATGTTTAAAATGCATATTTTTGTAAAGTAAGAGTTGCTCATGAAGAGATTTTTTTTTCGTTACTGAATTAATTGCATTCAGAATCTCCAGTGTTTAATTTTTTTTTTTTACATGTAAAAAAAGATTTTTACAAAGCATAAAAACATTTTGAATATTATTATCCAAAAACAGTTTTGTTACTTTTAAGCAAGCAATATGGTTTCAAACTGAAAAAGTAGTTTCGTATTTCAATAAATTCATTTTGAAAACATGATGTTATATAAACTTCCAAATTGCTTGATCATGAACAGTGACTTGCTAGTAATCCCAAGCAAAATAATAATAATAAAAAAAAATATTCAATCTAAAAAACAATTAAATTGCTTAATTTTATGATAAGAAAATAAATAATCTTAATTATAAATGAAACTATCCTAGCTGCAATATGGGAGTTTTCCCAGGTTTTCTGCCATAGAACAAGCAAACGCGGGCCACGTCGTGTAAAAATACTCCCGGAAGACACTGCTGTTCTCACTCTCTTTATCCGTCCGTGGGCTGTTCGTGGGATATATTAGTGGTATATGACACCAACCGATGTCACAACCAGACACAAAATGACAATAATAGATAAATCACGAAGTTTTTCACAAATAAATTATTAAATTAATCTATATAATTAATAATAGCTAATTAATTAACTAATAATAATTAATTAACATGGGAAAAATTTTTGAGAAATAGAAATTTTCATTATTACTAATTAAATAAGCTTTAGTTATTATTTAATTTTTATATCATATCCTTTTAATCGTAATTCACTTACTTAATTATTATTATAATTATTTATTTAATAATTAATGACTTAAAATGTGAGAAAATTTTTGAAAAAAATAGAGATTTTCATGATCAGGGATTAAATGAATGCCAATTAATATTTAATTTTTTTATCTATCATATTTTTAATTTGCCATTATTTTTTTTTATCATATTCTAATTTTTTAATTTGTCTAATTAAGTAAGAAAGTTTAATTTTTTGTCTCTTTACATTTTATCTATTTTTCAATATGATGATTGGTCCTCAGTTTTTTTTAGAACCAATACGTTATAAGATTTTTTTCATATCTATAAAAAATAGTTTTCAAATTAATAAAATGCATTGAACAATATTTCTTTATTTTTATACTTATGTTAAAAAACTTGGGAAAAAGAAAAATAC